TTAAGAAAATAATAGGAGAAATAATAGAAAGGCATAAATTAAATTTAGAAAAACTCAAGAATGAGATGATAGAATTCAGGAAGTTCTTTAAAAGAAAAAGAAAAAGCAATTCTGAAAATGAAGACTAAAATAGAAGGGGCATGTGCTTGTTACCCAGGAGTATTCCAATTGTGGAAGTGATCAACAATACATTCACATGCTGTGTGTTTATTATATTTATATTACACTTCAGTAAAACATTTTAAATAATGAAATGAAGAAAGAGATAGCAATTCAAGAAAAAGTTGGCTTCAAGCTTTTTGCCAGAAGACCATGGTTTGCATGCACATTTTACTGAAACGCCTTTCATAAATGTCACCAAAGACTTTCAAGGTCCAATAATATTTTGACTCTTTGAGATGTCTAACATAATTAATCACTCCCTAATTTCTGTGTTATCTTGCTCTCCTGTTTTCCTCCTAACCCCTTGACTCATTCCTTATTAATCTCCTTTGCAAGGTTTTCTTCAGTTGCTAACCTTTCAAACATTGTTGTTTCTGGGCTCCATATTCAGCTCTTATCCCTTTTTATTCAAATTTTCTTCCTAAACAGTGATATCATACCTAAGGGTCTCCGCTTTCTCTATCTCTCATATACACACACACACACACACACACACACACACACATATTAGTCTCAAAGCTGCATTTTTATTTCAGGTCTCCCTGCTGAAAAATAGCCCTTTATATCCAACTGATAATGCAATCTCTCCACTGAACATTCCACAGTCCCCTCCCTGGCAAGCTTGCTCTCCACCCAGCCCTCCTTAACTCCAAGAAGGTAAGTGATCATATCCTCTTATTTGATAAATAATTTAAGTTTCTCTATCTCCTAAGAAAACCTTCTTTCAATACTCCACACCTTTTATATCTTTCCCCATATTTTATTTTCTTAAAAATTCTACTTCTGGATTAAATGGATAACATGACTGCCTTTATTTTGTCACTATTCAGTCACTTCTTAATCGTCTACGTTCTCATTACCCATCCTTTTATCAAAACTGCCCTCTCTGTAGCATTAATGATGTTGTCTATCATTTCAAAATGTTTTTTTTATTCCTTTTATAAGCGTGGCTCTAAATTTGCACTAACCTGATTTGTTTTATATTACTTTGTAAGCTTAGTGTTTACATTGATATTCCCTAGACATTCTACTGTCACCTAAATAATGGCATTCTCCAGTTACTTTGATAAAGTGAGAGAGGGAGAGAGAGAGAGAGAGAGAGAGAGAGAGAGAGANAGAGAGAGAGAGAGAGAGAGAGAGAGAGAGAGAGAGAGAGGGAGAGAGAGAGAAGTGAGAAAAAATATGGACAGGCGAACTAGAGAGAGAAAGCGAGAAACTGCTTCAGGGACCATTAACTCCCTTGGGTTCAATAATTCAATCTATTCTGATCACACCCTCCCTTAGCTCCAGGATCGATTTTTCAAATAACTGTACAAGGACATGAAAGAGTTATAACAGAAAAAAAGAGAACATTTTTTATGTTCTCAGAAAAACTTACTCTGCTTCCTTAGAACCCTCTTGCTGTTAAAGACTTCGTTTTTCTTTCCAGTCATCAAGAAATAAAACTGGAATTGTTTTTTAATTCCCTTTCATCAGCAACATCCAATAAAATGTCAAGTTACATAAACTCTCCTACTGAGCAGCTTCTCACATCAGTTCTGCGCTTCCTTTCCTTTGTTACTGTGTCAACACTATTAAATATCCTCTCAATCCTATAATTTCTTCTGCCTTTCACCTCTCTGCTTGAATCAATCCAAAAACATTACTAATGTCCTGTCAATCAAACACTTGCTTAAACTCTTTCATGGTCTCCATGCTGTCTTTAAAATAACTACAGAATTTCACTATCATTAAAATCCTGCACCAGTTAGCCCCAGCTTTATATCTTACTGTTCCTCAACCAACTAATGTCTGCAAACTATCCCATATGTGCCTGCCTCTGAGTTTTTTAATCACAGTATTTGCCTTGTCTATAATAATTTGTAATTTTCCATTCTGTCATATAAAATTTTATCAAGCCTTCCAAGTGGAGTTCTGGGAATAAATACCAGTGCTCTTATCACATGGTTACAAGTTCCTCTTCTGACATATACAGAACTTTTTTTTTCAAAATGTTTTCTATCATATTTAATACTTAGAGCTACCTAAGAAAAATATGCAATACCACACATATGAAGGTAAACTACATGGAGTTATGCTTCTGTTAATGACAATGTAGCTTGTATTGGACTAACTCTACTACAAATAATGATGATGAACTAAGTAAAAATTATATAAAAAACAATTATTTGATGGCACTAGAGATTAATGAAGAGCAGACAAAGGCTGAAGAGTTTCTCACTCAAGGAAACACCCTATTCATGTTATGAGGAAGCTACAATCAAGTAGAGAACTAGAGACTTATCAGCTCGATGTTATAAAACAGAGATGTAAAGTACCAGGTCAGCTGAAAAGCCAGAAGACATAGTCAGAAACTGAGGCAGGCACCCTGAAATCTGGGTGTATATTCTCTCCCACATCCTTGGCTGACACCTGAACTGAATGTACAAACAGAGCGAGAAGAGCAGTGGCTGGAAAGTTGAAAGAGGTTTGTGGCTGCCACCCATCATAAAAGAATTTTGAATGTCCGTCCAGTCAAGTACTACCTGCTAGAATAAAAATCAAGTTTCTTTAAAAGATAATAGAATCCAGGATCTAGAATGAAAACATATAAGGTATAATGTCCAGTGCACAATGAAAATTACTAGACATGCAAAGAAACAAGAAAATATGATCCATAGTCAAGAGAAAAAACAATCAATGCAAACCTACCTTAGGTTGACCCACATGTTAAAATGAACAAAGAGGGATTTTAACACAGCGGTTAAAAATAGGTTCATGGGCTTAGATGAAAACATAGTCATCATGAATAAAAATCTGGGGGAGTGCTCAGTATGGAAGTGGGAAATATACAAAATAAAAGTTCTAGAGCTGAAAAGTACAGTATCGGTATGAACCATTAATGGGATAGGCTTAACAGAATACTGAAGATGTCAGAATAAAGGACTAATGAATTTGAAAATAAATCAACAGAATTTATCCAATTTGTAAAATAGAGGAAAAAAGGCTCCAATAGAAATGAAAATCTCAGTGATCTGTGGGACAATACCCAAATTATATAAAATATATATGAATCCCTGAAGGTAGGGATGGGGAAATGAGGTAGAAATACTATTTGAAATAATTACCAAAATTTTGCCAAATTAGGTGCAAAACATAAACTTTTATATCCAAGAAGCTTAGTATGGCAAGAAATATAAATACCAATTTTCTACTACCACCATTACACACACCTAGGCACTGGGTATGCTATAGAAAAACTGCTGAACACCAAAGATAATGAGAAAATCTTAAAAGATAAAACAATGACAAACAGGGTAACCTGAATTTACATCAGAAAAAGAATAGAAGACAATACCTCATTTATGCGATGCTGAAAGAAAAGAAAAAAACAAAAAAAACCCTATTAACCTAGTATTCTATATCCAGGGAAAATAGCCTTCAAAAATAAAGATGAAACAAAGGCATTTTCAGATAAATGAAAATTGAGAGGATTTGTTCCAATAGATCTGTATCTCAGATGCATATATTCTGATTTTGTATATATGTGTATATGTGTGTTTGTATACACACGTGTGTATAGTGTATATTTGTGTATATGTGAACTGATTTGCCATCTACATCTCTGTCTAAAGTTCTATTCCATCATCTGCTCTGTTTCTTTAAAATAATCAATAAATACACCGTGATGTGTTTGTGCATGCTACTTAACTTTAATGTACAACTAGGGGCGGTTAGTTAACATTTAAAATATGCTAATCAAAAACCCTGCCTATAAGGACACTTAACAACTGAAGTACTTCAATCAGGGTGCTCTCCAGAGGCATCTTAGAGTGAGCACTTCAGATAATGCTAATTATATGTGCGCTTGAGTGTTAACTAGTATAAGAAATATCAGAAATAATTTTTCACTAGTGAAATGAATGTTGCTCTTTGTATGTGCTGGCTTATATAGTTGCTCTGTCCTTTCATAATTGTGGTATAAGAATCAAGAGAATCCAGCTGCATAGCTACAGAATACCTAGAGCTCTGTTTTATCTGCATCCTGTCTTAATGCAGGATTCTGCCTCCTGACCTAAATGAAAGGTAACACATCCTGCCATCAGAATATTGTTTAATATTGCTTCAGAGCAAAACTGTGATGTAAGGTGCTTGAAAATGTACCTAAAACAAATGAGAGTTGCGAGTTTACTCTGTTGAAACAGGTTATATAACTGATCTTTAAGCCTGCCTGTTAGTAAACATTCTGTGCATGGCAGAATTCAGGTGATAGTCTCTGTCATTATTATACCATATCACATACCAGTGGAGTCTGGGGGAGAGAGATGTATAGCTGTCACTCACCAATATTTACCTTGTCAGTCTGCAATCTCACCCCCCCCCCCAATTCCACCTCACCACCTCACCTGGCTAAGGAGGAATTACAGGATCAACAAGTCTTTGCATGTCCTTTGCATGTCCTTTATAAAACACTATATGTAGTAATTTTTTATATTTATATATACATGCATTTGTATGTTCCTATATATTCATTCTAATATGGTGTTTATATTAATAAAAATTCATATCAGAACACACTAGAGAACACAATTTGATATTAAGAAATATTTTAAGTAAACAAATTAAGTAAATGAAATTGTTCAGTGAATGAACACATAGAGAATTAATTGGTTCACAACTTTTACAGCTGACAAAGATTTTAAAGGCCCAGAGAGATCATTTCTCTGACTCAGGGAAACTGAATTAGAAGATCACAAATGCTCTTCTCTTTTGTCGGAGGAAATGCCACAACCTTTGTTTTAAAACAACGTCCTTTTAATCATTACTTTTATTCTTAGCAATGAATGAAACCATCTTACCTCCAAATGGTATCCAACCCTGATGAAGGAACAAAGTGGGTCGAACGCTCCAGTACCACAGGTCAGAAGGTGTGTCCTATTGTAGTGATGTAAAACCCGAACATAATTTGCACATTCACTCTAAAGCAAAAAAGAAAGAAAGAAAGAAAGAAAGAAAGGAAGGAAGGAAGGAAGGAAGGAAGGAAGAAAGAAAGAAAGAAAGAAAGAAAGAAAGAAAGAAAGAAAGAAAGAAAGAAAGAAAGAAAGAAAGAAAGAAGAAAGACAGAAATTGGTTAGAATAAAAATGTTTAGGTCTTTTTTGATTTCTGTTTTTCCTAACTCTAGAAATGTAATATTTAAGTCTCCTTGGACTAGAGGAGGCAAGAGAAGCAGATGGAGAAAGGACAAGTACTACCAGAAAAGGAGGCCAGGGTGATGAACGCACGTTTTAGTTAGCAGTGATGTAGGAATTATATTTAATAGTGGGACTGTATCATTTTCATGTATTCTAGTACACAATTAAGGAATAAAAAACAGCACTGTTCAGAAATTTATTCAAGCATAAAGATCTGCATGGCAATATGTTCCACTAAGTAATTAAGCCATTCCCAATGTTGTTATTAGTTTTTAAGTACATATAAACAATGAATCAGCATAAAGTCAGAAAAACAATAATTAGAAAAAGATTCATTACTCCTAAGAAAATATATGCAAGCTTTACGGATGGCATTACAGAGTTTTGATGTTTGGGAACATAAGTCATACCTTCAAACCCATAAATTTACATAAAGCACTTTCATAGAGGATTTTCAAGAAAATAGATAGCTAGCCAATAAAAATAACATTTTATACCTATTACACTAAGATTATAGTCTAGGGATCAGCAAAATTTTCTATAAAGGACCAGATAGTAAATATATTTAGTTTGATGGGTGATCTGGTTTCTGGTTGTAACTGAACCTCTTAACTTCTGCAGCTATAGCATGAAAGCATCCACAGACAATACACAAATGAGTATGTATGGCTGTGCTTCAGTAAAACTTTATTTGTGGCAGGCCATGCTCCACCCAGGAGCTCTAGTTTGCCTATCCAGGGATTCAACTGTAAGCTTTTTAAGAACAGAATTTTTATTTTATAAATCTTTGTATTCCCCACTTAATCAAACACAGTACCAAATACATATTACATGCTTAACAAAGTTTAATACATCAATCGCTAAGTGAGTTTCATGATCAGTACATTGAATGAAAAAAAGTTGAAAATTGCCTGATACCGACTTTGCTAAATTAATTCTAGCAAACACCTTGTTGGCAAATTAGGCACTGCTGCTTCCTTTAAAATAAATTATGAAATATTAAACTGGTATAATGTTAATATTACATTTATATCAATATCTGCAATAATCAGTAAATGTGATGTGTCACAAAAAGAGGTTGTGATTTTAAAGTCTGTCATATAATGAGTGGTATTAGGATGAAAACTCCAGTGGAACCATCTCACCATAAATGATACTGATTATAGCATTCCCTTGGTGAGAATAAGTCACTACTGAACTGATTATCCAGGGCACACAAGATATATTTATCTCTTTAATTTCCCACTCGTGTAGCATTATGCTGTGAGTGACCTATATAGTTGGAAAAATGTACTCATTCAGGCATGGGGAACATAGTCTATTCTTGTATTGTTATAAGCACCTACTTTTCATCTCTTGAAACACTGTCATGACTTGACTTGGCCAATTAGACCACATTTTGGCTCAGCTGGGCTTAGATTGAAATAGCCTAAGAGTGTGTTCAATTAGTCAGTATCACACTGTGGACCAAAGCAGCAAGAAGGTCGTGACTCATTCCTTGGCTGTTACCCAGTTACTGCAGAGAATCTGGAGTAACTATCATGTACATTAGTCTTTTACATGGTATTTTGTTTCCTTTTTGGGAAAAAAAAAAAGGATAGGCTAACTTTCAAAAGGAGATGTGCATGCCATCCTCCAAAGATGCTCCTGTCACTGACCAGCCACCCCTAGCCAGTGATGGTCCCTCATGTATTAGTGTGCAGGCCACTCTGCCAGGAATGGTGCTCTGCACAGCCTTTCCCCACTCACTCACTGCAGGGAACTGCGGAGAAACGCAATACTGGCTCTGTAAGTAGGAAAGACCCTACAAACATTGGGGGTACCCAAGGATGTTTATTGCCTTTACCTTCTTCTTCCAGACCTGTTGTTCCTTCTTTTTGTTTCTGCATGCTTCTAATTTACTCAACAAAGGGACAGGAAATCTCACAGTGCATTTAGCTTTGCCTCGAATTAAAAAATTTACCTGCAATTTTTTTCCCCAAATTCATTAGGAAACAAACATTACTATAAAGACTATAAACCTGAGTTGATTAAAATATAATAAAACAAAAATAAAAAACAAGTTCAAGATGGTACCTCAGCTCCCTTTAACTATACACTGAAATTAATTTTTAAATAATTATATGTATATAGTGTACATGTGTATATTATATATAAAATGTATATATATATACATATATATATATATATACACATATGTATTTTTTCTTCCTGAAGTGAATTGCATATGTGCATTTTAAAGCAACTAAAAGGTTAGGCATTCAGTCCTTTGTGATTGATGAGTGATATAATTGATGATTTGTGTAATTTATAATGAATAATACTTACTGAATCTTTTCCCTTCATTATGCATTCTTCTATTTTTAGTGCTGTACTAGGCCAGTGTATCTGAAATAAAAGATAATGTACTATTATGCAACTGCACATAAAAATAAACCACACTGAAGAACCATTTCATTTTTTTCTGCAACGAAATACATTTTCATTTTGTTCTCCTTTCTGAAAGGATAAAGCAAGACTTTATCTTCTTTACACCATTATTTGCATAATTAAGACACTCATCTTTGAGCTTTCACTTCATGCTAAACTTCATGATTTTTTAAAAGAATCTTTCTGAAGGCTCGCCTCATGTCTCAGCCCTTCAGGGACCACCCACACTTTAACCAGCCCCTGCTCTGTAAGTAACCTGCTCTACCTAACTTCCAGTCTGTCTCCTGAACCTGTCTGCCCCTTTAAAGTCCGGCACTTCCTTGAGTTCACTTTGCATTTTTCTACTGAGCACAGAGCTTGGTGTGTGCTGGACTCAGTAACATTTACTGTGTGAAAGGATTAAAGGATTAATTACACTTTTAAGTGCTTATTTATACTGCATCACCTAATAACACACCACATGGTAGTCTTTATTTTTTACATTAACTCTACCAGTTTCCCACTGGATTGTAGGACATTTTCATTATATTTCAAGTTTTTTGGTTTCTTCCTTGGAGAGACTATATCAAATAGTTCTTTTTTTTATCTCCAATTGTACTTACCGCTTTGCTGGGGTCACCGCCAGAAATCATTCAGTACTTGCTATCTGATGCCACCAATTTCTAACTGTGAAGTGTGTTTTCTTAATGAAAGATATTTTCTGTATAGCTTTCTTTTGTCAGATTGCTTCTGTTCTTTTTGCTTAAACTATAGAATTAATTATACTATGTGCAAGATAGAGTGGTAAGAACTTTTAGTTTTTCTTTCTTTTGCTTGATGAATTCATATGCAGAGGTTTGAATCTGTCATACTATCAATCCCATGGCTCATTATTATCATTGATCTTGAAAGGTCTCTGTCTCTCTGATTTATTTCCTCCTCTTTCCCCTGCTATGTTCTTCTTGCATCCTGCCAAGGGGCAATCATAAACGGTTACGGGCATTTTTTTTTGTTGTTTGCTTGCATATATTCTTATAAAGTATATTATTGCTTTTGTGCACATTTTAAAATTTATTTTTAAATTTAGGTAGTCTTTCTCATTTTTTTTTCACTAAAACCTGGGTTTTTATGATCCTTGTACATAGTTCTACATATACAAATAGTCTGTTGTTTCTAATTGCTTTGTACTATTCAAGGTATCCCCCACCCACATTGTCTTATCTACTCTCCCAGTGATGGACACCCAGATGCCGCCAAGTCTCCAACTCAAACCTGGAGCATCTTTGTACACATGCATCAATATCTGTATAAAAATATCACTGGTGGGCTGGCCGAGTGGCGCATTGGTTAAGAGCTGGCTTGGGACGCCAGAGGGCCCCGGTTCGGATCCCACATATGAGGGCCAGTGACACTGCTCTCCACAGCTAAGATGCTGAACAACAGCTCAACCTGGAGCTGGGCTGCCGTGGGTCGCCAGCAATGGCATAGCCTGCAGCCCCTGCTGCAGTGGGTTGCCATGGGCTACCTTGTGTAGCCAGCAGCCAGCATGAGCGGCCGTCCAGAAGCCGGTGACTGATCTGCCTTGCCCGGGAAGAGTGCAATGATGGTGCCAACTTGGGCCAGTGAAGCAACAGACTGAAGAACAAAATGACAGCAACTTGTCTGTTCCCCGTTCCCCAATTCCCCAGTGCTGTTCCCATCCCAATTCCCCAATTTAAAAAAAAATCACTGGTGCATATAACCAGGAGCAGAATCACTGGATCTAAGAGTAAGCATACATTTAACGTAAACGTAGTGCAGATTGCTCTCTAGAATGGCGACATGTTTGTACTCGGCCAGCAGTTCTCACTGACACTTGGCAAAATCAGCTTGCTAAATTTTGTACTGAACACTTTAGCTTCAACATTTAATTTAATCCTTACCACAACTTTATCACAGAAGTAGTATTATTTGGGAGCATCTTTAAAAAATTGCCTATTTCTCTGTCCAACTCCACAATGCAGAGTAGATCTATGGGTGGGGAACCCAGGAATGTGACCAATCCATTTGAGTAACTAGCAACCGGTAAATCCCCATGTTTCCTGTGCCTTAAGACCTTAAGCCTCCTAGTAAATACTTTATCCCTGCATCTGCTGGCTGAATCACCCTCCCTCAGCTGACTGAAATTTTTCAATCAGACCCCATCCCTGTATCTCTCTTGGGATCCCATGGAGCGCCTTCTCATACTAACACATCATCTACATGGGCTCTGCTGGTCAGGTGATGATGGGTTCTATTTTGAGGGATGTTGGCTTTTACCAGAACAACGTGTAGTTTTTTCTTCATTGCCTCCAAAAGCCTGCACTTTGAGTCCACAGGCACTGGTCTACTGAAGTCCTAAGATGCTCTCTCTTGCTCTCCTACTTCTATGGCTGCTTTGAGCCAGGCTACCTCAATGTGTCTTTGGTTCCTTTCTTTTTGTAGCTAATCACCTTCCATTCCTGAGTCAATATTTTGGTGAAGGAGAAGACACTTCCCCATAGAGTAGCCTGGGCCTCTCAAGATATTATTATTATTTTTTTATAGCCTTTTCTCCTCAGGATGCTTAAGATTCCTTAGGGCTTAGATTGAGAAGAGTTCATGGACAGCTTCCTATTCCCCAATGTCAACGTTTGCTGTCAGCAGACTCGATTGCTAGGCCTGCACCAGTATGCCAGACTGGTTTTCCATGGCAATTGTTTGTTCCTAAAGATCCCTATTATCTCTCGCTGATATCTCCTCTCCCTGAGCCTACCACTATCCCATCCTGTGCTCAGCAAGCCTGGAAGGACATTATGGTTATTGAGCTACACATTAGATGTTGCTGATTAAAGGTATTTTTTAGTGAGCACACTAAATATTCAATTATTTTTTAATTAGTGCCCAACATTCAACAATGAGAAATTTTGCATAAAAATTCACATTCCTGGTTTTTCTAGAAAAATCTGAAAATAAGCAACAGGTTTGCATTCTTATGTGGAGTTGAAAGTCTGAAGTATTCTTTCAATGGGATGGATACTCTCTGATTCACTTCAGACTTTTCTTGTACCTGACTGGCCCCTGCAGACATCTTAGTTTTTGAAATCAGAAATATATGTTTAAATCCCATATAAGATCAAGATTCAAGTTTCTTTTTTTAAACTGTGTCCCATAAAATATCAGGTTAGACACTTACATGCTAGAAGTGCAAGAGGCTTGTCACTTTCCTCACACATTATGTGGCAAAATCTTAGTCCTTGATACATGAAAAATACTGAGAATTTATAAAAGTGGTAGCAACAGCATTTATTATGATGATCCTATCATAGGAGTAAGCACTCTATGGTTTGAAATAAATATGGTAATATTACTTTTGATGTTCTTATTAGTATATTGCCCTCCCCCCAAGGTGTTCTTTTGCTTCCATAGCAGTGTATAAACTTTTAAATAAACACACATTAGCTTTTTTTTTCCCTATATTGCAACACACAAAAAAGACTAAGGAGAAAAGCTGGGATATGTAAAGGAAACCAACTAAAAAGCCAAAAGCACAGGCACAAAATCCTAGAATCAATGTTCTTGATTGTAGCACTGACTCCATCAGTGGATTATATGTGATTCAGGAAAGATATCACATAAATACAACAATGTCAGTTTCAGGTGCAGCCTGAGGAGAGTCATTAATACCATTATAGAGAAAGGGTCCTGGAAGTGAAGCTGTAGAACTTATAAATTTTACTATTCCAATATTTTGGAAAAGATGCTTGCACCCGGGGATATATTTTCTCAGATGATTTCTAAAATCCATTCTAATTTGAGATTCAATTTGGTTTTGGAATTATTATTTTACTGTGGATGCATAAATTATTCAAAATGGTATGTTAGAATGTATGTGTGAGCATATAAAGAAAATACAAATTTATTGTAGGATCATCTATCATTGGAAAGCTTTTCATGACTAATTCGCTTATTGCATGAATACATTAGAGAATACCTCATCTGTAATTCAGAATAATGCTTCATATTCTTAACACACTTAACTAATGAGATGCAGGGCTCTTTCTTCTTCTTAGAATATTAGCATCCCTTCTTAGTCACTTTTCATCATTATGTAAAACAATGACTTCTTTTCACTGTATTCCCACAATTTCAAAGTATTAGACAACTCAACCAATTCTTTGGAAAAATAGACCAAGTTAAAGTTTTCAGTGATGAAATAATATCCAGGACAATAAAACAACCTCAGTATATGACCCTATATTTTCCTAAATCACTACTTCATAACGATTATTTCTAGTATTATTTGAACATAGTTTAGGGAAAATTCTCCACAGCATTTCTACACACCCATGGGCAGCTTCTGTCCTACACTATCTTTTCAAACAGCCTTGGAAGATAGAGGTAGAATCTCTGTCCAGAGCAAGTGCAAGTTCTGTTTCATGTACATTATCTAATAAAGATAATGTCTGCCTCTGGGCAAAGGTTGTATGGGTTTGCTAGCAGACCCCTTATACAATTGGGAGTTTTCTAAGCTTGAGGTTGGTTAATTAGGTATAACACATACTCACTCTATGTGCAGCATCTACCTGGGCTGCTATGCCTCACGCCCTGTGGGACTTGAGGGGGAAACATGAAGCTCATGCTGCATGTAGTGCTGTGACTAATAGAGTCATTTGTCTATGACCCAGGGATTTCGTGTCTTCTGCCAGCATCTACAAAACTATGGCAGGCTAACTTGTCTTGAAAGTGAGATAAAATCTCTGACCCTTCACAGTTCTTGACGCAAATGAAAGATAATATATATAATGTGATGGTAAAAAATAAACGGCCTTTTTAGGATTGTCAGAATATGTGTTGCTTCTATCAGCAAACTTAATAATGGCAACTGCCCTAGGAATAAGGGAATCATTATAGTAGGCACATCTTACAAAGGCACATCCCAACAAAACCTTCCCTGATAACATTTTCAATAGATAGTATTTCTCCCTCCTTTGATCCTCTATATCGTTTTTCTTACTTTCTCTACCTAGGACTATAACGATTTTTCTACTTCACTTCAGCTCTCTTATTAGACTATAAGTTATAGAGGGTAAGGCAGTGACTTATTTCTGTATCCCTACCAATGCCTACCTGATACAATGCATTAAATGCAGTCACTGTTTATTCACTGTATATTGATTAACTTGTATCAATCAACATATTTTTATCACATTCTTTGAAAAGTCAATTCACTAAAAAAAAAACAACTTACAGTAAAGCTTGAGAGAGAAGATTCACTGACATAAAAATGCTGTAATGAGAGTCAAATGAATGAGATAAGTAATTTCCAGTTTAATCAGGAAGGTAATCCTATAGGATTTTAGCAATAATCTAGGCTTTGAAAGACTGGTAGAATTTCTTAGGGCAGAAAAACGGATCTTTACCAGATGACTTGGGGTAGACGGAAGGGAGAGAGGTAAAAGACTAAATTATGAACACTCGCCACAGTAAACTCCAACACATTGGAACTCTCCAAAGGAGCAATGTAATTATAAATTTAGTCAAATTATGTTTTTATTGTTGTTTAGTTTGTTTAAAACAAAATTTAACAGGCTCAGGTTTGCATTCATATAGTCACTCAGGTGAGAAAAGAAAAAAGAACAAAGACCTCATTGGA